AACATTTTCCGATTGGGGTGCTCACCAATCGAGAGATTGTGTACGAGACTCTGAGCAGTTCGGTCCCTAGCAAAGGAAGTACCAGATATTGTGGTCAGTTTTATCGACGTGCGTGCAGCCAAAAGGACGCATTCGCCGGTTGCCTATTGTGAAATTCGAATTCACTTCTATGCGGTGAATGACCACTGAGTTATTCGATATAGAATAATAATATCAGTTCAACACGAGGCCAGTCGATACAATACTGATGACAAATAGAAGAAAGTCATTTGGAATTCGATCCTTTAGTTGTGTTCTACAAAACAAGTTGGATGTGTTGCGAATTAGGCATTTCCATCAGAAATTTGATATTAAAACGCCATCAGAATCCGTAGCAACAAAACGCAAGAAGGAATAGAAGTCGTAAAATGTGAAATGACGTTGGGATTTTACCGTTCGATAAGGTAAAATTAGGTTGCGCAATAAACAGCGCATTCGGTCGTAATTAGTTAAACGAATTATGTTATTCAATTAGAGTGTTGAGCATATTACATTGAATACAAGACTTCGATCGGAAAAACATGTTCCGTTCCTCAGGCCTTCTTCATCACGGCAGTTGCGATAACAACCTGTTTCAGGCCCTTTAATGTGTCATACTATGAGTATACGAAACCGCACATTGTATCTGCTGTGAATCTGTGTTTCAAATGCACATCAGTCATGCTAAGCTTCCTTACGATGCTGAATTTAGTGGTTAGAAAGACGATAAGAAAACCTGCACAAAAAATTATTTCAGTTTGGGATACCCCACCGGGCACAATCTGTACAACAGACCTGTTAAACGCTTACCGAATAATATGAACTTCATCAGTCATGTCATTGACCAGAGCTCGGGCCAAATCGGCGAACGATGTGTACGTGAACGAGGAGGCGACCTGAACGTGTGGATATAGCACAATGGGTCAGAGGGAATCAAGACTGTATCAGAAACTGTACATCATCAGTCGTATGTCGGAACGCAGCTGCGAAACACAGTAAGAGCAACACACACACACACACACACGTCCTAAGTGAGTAGGGAATGCAAACGACAAATAATGATCTTGACAGGTACCGAGTTCGAGTTTCGGCTCGTCAAGGCACATCCACTGGTTCATCAAAGTTTGAACCTCGGATCGTCGTGTCGAACACCTCACACTGACATCATCAGTGCACTGATGATGTTGCCTAGCCTGGCTACGAAACGTATGCGAACAACATTTGCGGCTTGTAGAACACACCAACATCCGTATTCCGAGCTACAATCATTCCATGTAATTTGCAACCCGATAGTTAGTTCAACGAAACAAAAAGAAAAAGTTAACCAAGACGAAATAAAGTGAACGTACTAGTTATTGTTGAAAATACGGCAATTATCATGTTCCCTGTATCAAATTTTCAATTCCAGAAGGTTCTTACTGAATATATAACTGAAACCCCACGTTCTTCGAACCGTAACCTTCATGTCCCTAGCTCCCGTACTAATCCACTCACTGGCGTTCCTGAACTTCATTATTCACTATCCCAAACCATCAAATAAGTAACACATTTCATAACATTATTCGCAACGGTGAAAACTTTTTCGAAGCACATTGCATCAAACAGGGAATAGAGATCTTTACTGGATCTGAGATCATCGTTCCACAAGTCAAACTACCTTGTGTCAAGTCGTTTTAGCCAACGCGTCCACAGAGAACGAAACTGACTATTGTTCTCTAAGCAGGCAAAACGTTTTCGGCTAACCGGTAATAAAATCGATCGCTGACGACGGATTCTGAACTCAATCTTGGAAGATTACAACACAGTGAGAAAAACAACAGAAGTGAATGGGATTCCGTTGGCGAAATATCCGTTTGTTCCCTAAGCGGCATATTGAAGGTTATCACGGGTTCAATACACAATACAATGCGAGTAGTGCATGGAAAAAGAATGCTGCTATTTAAATCCAAGAAGATTCACGTTTGCTGACAGTGGTGGAACCACCGCGTCATAAATGCTGAGATTTTAATTAGAACACTCGGTCGTCACGGAAGGGTATTCAGTTAGGCATGTAACATTTGCAGTCTTTGTTGACTGGGTCCGGTGTTGTTCATCTGCCCGAACAGGTTTTCGAGAAGCATCATTCATACAGTAAGGGTATTGGTTGATTAAACCCGTCAGTCGATGAAGTAAGCAAAGGAAGAAACTTCGAAGAATGATTTCAGTCCTGAAACGGACTGACAGGCGTGGTTGAAGGCCAAAAGTATATCAAATAGCGATATTCGTGCGTTTGCTTGGAACTTAGATTTTCATAAAAATTTTCTACTAAAACCGTGTCTATCGCCTTTCATTTATACAGCTTCAGCGGTCGCAGGGCTAATATGAAAAGGGAATGAGACAAGGGCCGGTAAGAGTTCATGAGAAGTTCAGTTAAAAAGGTGAGTTAGGATGTCTATTTGCGTGAACATATGTGATTGGGACGTTCACTTGAGATGTTTTGGTAACCGTAGAATGACAAACAATATAAACGACTTTCAAAGGGGAAGAGCGCACACGTGTAGGGTTTGCCCTTTCGCATTTGCTGAAAGGAGGCGCGATCATCAGATTACCTCGGTAGTTTGGCTTGAGAATATTTAAATAGTGGAACAATTACAAAGTCGCCTGTCGCTGGACAATAACTGAACCGGACAGTTACTAGCACTAAGTGCCGAGGGTGACGAATTAGTGTGATTAGCAAAGAACCTGTAACAACCCCATAGACTGTAACGAGTCGGCTAAACGTATGTTCATCGGTTGTAACCTGCGCGTCAGGATTAATGCACACACACACACACACAAACACGTGCGCGCAAAAACACAAAATCATCGAATCTAGTTACCTCGTGTTTACCATGAGCAAACAGTAACTGCAAACAGTTTCTGAGGCCAGTAAAAGCGCACATGAGAATGGATTTCGGGTTGCAAAACAACCCGAATGCACAGTGTGTTCATCGAAGGCATAAACTCGAACATAGAAAAAACGACCAAACGGTTGCATGAAAGTACAGTGGCGAATGTAACAGTGAGTTGTCGCTCACAATTCGGTCAATTCCGATTACAGAATAGGACGGACGGGACAACAATAACAGATTAGTTTTGTAACAATGCAAATCCAAAGCAAATCACGGAAAATATTCGCACTGCGCTTAAATTCGAATAATCTCAGTGCGACTGATAGCTGATGAATCAGCGAAAGTGCCTACTAATATGGACCGGTACTTCGAATTGTAATGCTTTAATCCAGTGATGAATTTTAGCATAGATCTTACTCGATGATTGCAGTACGGTTTATCCCAGGACTTGAGGTGCCGTAAAATACAGATCGAATAATCAGGAGAACGTTATTTTGTGTGTTGAAAATCATGTAGCAAGTAAAGATAATGGTTCCATTTCATAATGAACCTCATCATATGCAGGACAAAGAAAACATTACCTGAAAAAACAACTGCTGAGTTGTTTCAACTCTGTTGAGTCTCACCAGCAGATCGATTGATTAAACCAAAACCGGCACTGCACAGACATAAAGCAAACAAGTGGTTCGAATCATTAAAATAGCGACCCGGAAGTCCCGAGTTCAAACCCCATCACCATTGCCCACCTTCCCCATGAAGCCTTAGTACGGTCGCAACCAGCTTCCTGAAAGTAGACTGTACATTTGCATATTCAATGAATAATAAAGGAAATAAAAGCACATTTTCTTTAGGCTTGAACAATAGACAGCTAACCAGAGTTCCAACGGGATGTATTCATTCTGTTGGGCGAGATAAGCACATGCGTAAACCAACACATTTTTGGAAACAACAAGGAAAACGGAATTCTCTTCTCCCGGTGAAAACAAGCGTGCTCTGGGGAACTAATTAACACACAGTGAGTCTACCAATTTTAAGTAGGCGAATAAGAATATTTAAAACCATTCCGCTTTACAACAAACCTGACAATGTGGCCTCTCATTCGATAGGTTAGTGGTCATCAGTTTAGAAACTGTACCACCGGATTAGCACAAGGGGAAAAAGTAGACAGATTGGGTTTCAGTTTCAATACGAACAATCGTAAACTATGCACTTACGTGAGGCGGGTTTAATTACCGCTTTTGGCTACCACTTGTATGGAGTAGATGGAAGACTAGAATGAAGTAAGCAGTGTCATTCTAAAGATAGAAAATTCAGGTAGACTACGGTTGCAAACGAACTGAGTAGATACAGGAATGCCAGTGTTTACGACAGTCAGCCATATCACACAGTGTCTCTAACTGGCGATTAGACTCATTCGAAGGTCCCGATTCAGAGAGCATAACCCGACTTATAAGACCGAGTTTCGTGATTACGGAGTTCATATCATTATGCCAGGTTTCAGTTTGACCACATTTGACAATGTTACATCCATTATCGGCCTAAGCAAATACTGCAGATCGTAGCTGTCAAATTGGTGACGTGTAACACATGCCTTAATCAACACAATCTATTGAAGTCAACTACTTGCACCAATGAGCGACCACAATTACCTGAAAATGCACTTAACCTCAGTTTGGCTGCCCCATCAGACTCGTGCAGTAAGGCTCGACAGCTTTGTTCGAATATCAATAGTCTGTCTTCGTTCTGTTCCTGTAACGGTCAAGTTTCTCAAACATAACAGTGTACACCGGACCGTTCATGGACAATCGAATGTTGCGGCGGCACCAGAGATGTCCCAAGTTGGAAAACGCCAATCGAACCTTCTGTATGCGCACCGACAATTCATTTTTGATGCGTCCCCGAATGGGATGTAGCTGTTTAATAAAAAATGCTTACCATCTCTTTTGCCTTTTCATTTAGGGTTATTTGAAGACCAACCTAGTTCTGTAGTAACATATTACACTTTTAGGGTGCAAAACGCATGCCTAGTCTGGTTCCACTAGTATTCAGTCACCTGGATTTTCAATCGGTAGTAGAATGTCGTCTAGAGACTCCAGCTCAGGTAATTTGTCAGTTGAGAGCATAACTGAGGCAAACTCTAGGCGAATTAGGTACTCACGTGATTTGCGACCACAACTTATACAATACTAAGTGCCATGAGAGGGGATATCGCAAACCGGGTTAACACAGAGTATCTATGTACATTTTTATCATGCGGCGGATGAATAAAGTTAAAGATCAGTCTCACCTCAGAGGCCCGAATATCCAGATGACGCAAGGTTTGTTCCGTGGGCAAAATAGTCGCTTTCGGACGAGTGGGTGCAGCGGGACGTGGTTGTGGTCGCATGGCCGGGGGTGGCTGTTCGACCATCTCACCAGGCGACCAGGGAATGTGGGACCGTGAGCGGCCTACTGTGCTGGATCGTCTTAGGGAGGTCATGCTGCCAGTGCCCGGCGAGATGCTTGGTTGCATGCCAGCCACGGAAGCTAGGGTTGGTCGGAATTTGGTTTGGTCGCTTAGATTTTGAGTAGAGAGATCGTATTCTGAATCGTATGCGCGCGAATAGGATTGTAGGCTGGTAAGAGAACCGCGTTGGGGCTTTCGAGTGCATGGAAGCTGTGATCTGGCAGATATAAGGGAGTTGGCTAGACGGAGCAATGAGCCAGTGGGGCTGGCGTTGTTATTATGGTCTGCACTGAAGCGATGACCGCCTACAATGCCCAGTTTGTGCATGCTCGCATGGGAACCGGAATCCGAACTCCGATATGAGCCCTGAAGGATGAAATAATTAAAAAATGGATTGAGGAGGAAATGAAGCATCAAAAAAGGAAAACAATTTGGCCGGTTAAGAAAGTAAAATGGATATATTCGAGGTTGTGGTAAACCGAACCTGATGTCGAGTGTTTTTGTTCGTCAACCAGTGCTTTTTTCGAAGACAAAACAAATGTATGATGATGAACCACATGAGCACTTCATGCAAAACCTGTATGGATTTAAGCATCAAATTCACATATTGGGGCAGTCCAAACATGACTGAAAGGCAAAGGAGAACAACCAAATGCAACATGCATTTTTCCAAATCCATGTAGATAGCCGGTCCTACTGGAGCTCAAAATAGCGCGCTATTTCTAGATTATCAAGGATAACCATAAACGTCATATTTTTAATTCCTCCCTACACAAATTATTATCAGGGAGCAGAAAATAATATCAGCGATCACAGAGGAAAAACGAGAAAAGGAAGGGGTTAGCAAAGCAATAAAGACAGACGGGATAAAACAATCCTCAATTTAAAAAGTTATACCGCACACAGGAATACTATTTACTTACTACAGTTGTTTCTTCAGAAACCATAGTATAGACCGTCCGATCAGGCTGGATAACTTAATGATAACCGATAATAATGTCTACCGCATATGAGAGCGGAGCAAACATTTTCCGGATGCACAAACTTTTTATTTGTTAGAAAAAAATAAGAATAACATTTTCTCGAAGTATTCTCCACCAGTGTTCATGCATTCAAACCATTTGGTGAGAAAGCTCAACAACGTCGAAGTGGGTAACCCTTCGTCTAGTTCAGTGAAGGCCCAGACTACAGCTGTCAGTGACCTGTATCGGATTCCACGCATCATGCATGTGACATTTGGAACACAAAGAAGACACACGAAGCCAGAACTGGACTGTAGGGTGGGTGACCAACCTACTGAATGCGATCCCTAGCCAGAAAATCGCCGAAGACATGGGATTTGTGTGCAGATACGTAGTCATGGTGTAGCAAGGTACCTTGTGCTTTTCGATTGCCTTGGCCTAGGATGAAAGCCAAGACAGAACATGGCGTATCCCTTGACTCAAGTAGAGAAAGATCACATTAACACACACACAGAGCTTCCAATTGTTAAATTTAGATTGAGCCAACAGTTATCATTATGTAAACATTTTTCCAAGACTGAGAATAGACGAAAAAAATTAATCGCTCATCGACTAGTTTCCTCAAAGCTATCATGAGAATATTCAAACTTCTTTTATATTGTCGGAAATGCATGACAAACTGAGAAATTATACAGACAACTGTAAGTGTTAACTAACTTTTTCATTTTTTATTTTTGTGCAATTTATTCGCAAAAGGTTCGGGTTAAATATTAGACCATCCGAAAACCAGATCGCTTAAAAACATGCAGTGATGATTAAACTAGGTCTACATTCATAATGGACATAAATTGGGAGCTGTCGCTGATGGATGGGCACAAAAAGAACCAAATAATTAAAAGAAGAGAGAAAAAATCCGAATAAACTTCGGGCGGTGGTGGCCAAGTAGTTAGGTCACCAAATTGTGACCCAGTAGTCGCGGGTTCGAACAGCTCCTTGTTCTGTTTTTTCCCAGACAGTCTTTGTATGGTCGCGGTCCCCTTACTGAAAGTTGACTGTACACTTGTAAATAAAAATAACAACCAATAGCTAAAGAACTTTCATTATTCATAAAGAGAGCAAAACGTACTTGACGATAACGAGGTTGTTCATCGAGTACTCGCGACCGCGAAGTCAACTCGGCAACCATACAGTCCAGTTTGCGTCTTGATCGAGGTGTGTCTAGAAGTCGACCAATCACACGCCTGGCTTGGTGTTCTTGTCCCGTGCGCAACAGTCGGTTCAGATGACCAATCAGATTATCCACACTGGACAAGTGAGCCGAATGTGCAAAACCGGAACGAGACGAATCAGCCGAGTAATTGGACGAGCATGAAGGAGAAGAGGGTCTAGAACCGGTAGATGATGGACTGGAGTATGAATGTTGTGGAGAGTGAGATACCGAAGAAGCGACTGTGGCTGTGTCTTCGATTGGCAGTCTGTTTGTAGAGTAGGATTTGCTTGCGTGAATCATCCGACTTTGATCCTCCGGATTGATAACCGTGATTGAATAAGCGGTTTGAGGGTGGCTGCGCCCGTGGACAGCAGACCCATTCACAGCTAAGCTGGGCTGGCTGAATGTGCGCGACGCATCGAAATGTGCGTCTGGAATCCGGATGTGTTTCATCTTTCCTACTGTACCAATCGGGGGTGGATGATGAAACCGCGTGGATCGTCCTGACTGCTTGCTCCATGTGGCGTACGACGGGGGCTGATAGGAGACAAGCATAGCGTATTGGATTTGAGCAACAAAGGGGACTTTGTTTAATGTGAATAAGGTAATCACAAGAGAGGCCAATTTCAACGAACGAGGAACAGTTTCGCGAAGTTGTTGAGAGAAATTAAAACAAATAATAAGATTACAGTAGTAACCAGTTTATCAATAGAGAAATTCGAGAAGCCACAGTGGGTATATTTTAAAGTCGGTGATGATTACTGGTAGGGTGATTTGCTAATCCTTATGGGGCGCATTAAAATCTAAAGGCGAGGATACAACAGGTCGTGCATGTGTGGATTACTTTCACATTTATTAACTTTGTTTTCCTGACACAAAATTGGAATTAGTGATTAGTTTAACTGAAGCGGTATTCAAGCGGTTAAAGCCACCAACTTAATAACCCGAACGTAGTGTGATTGCACTGCACCGCCGCCACCTAACTTCCGGTTGTTTTTACCGTAAAATGCCTTTAACTGACCGCTTCGCCTTTGTTTGTGCAATTGTGCATTCCATATAAGGAAGCACACAAAGAAAGGGAAAACTGTAGAATAACAGAACGTTAGCCCGAAAATCAACTGCTATTCATATATCTCTGTCTAGGCAGCAACGACGGTCGGACGAAGGGGCAAAAAAGATGGATCTGTATACCAACTGTGACATGTAGAAAGATTGAAGAAAAACTGCAATTATCTAACTATTCGCTCAGAGCGAAGAAAGAGGACTATGAAGCAAGGATTTTCCAGACAACTAGAAATCAAGTCGTGATAAAATTATTTTGGGAGACTTTCACACGATCACTTTGTCTGAAAATGTGTGCAGAAAAATGTCAAAACGACGCAATAGTGAGTAAACGTGCCTAAAGACATTTAGGCTAGGGTAAACACAACGATTCAATAACATGTAGACTATATGAAGCTGCAATACACTAAGTGAGCGACAAGGAAAGTGTCTGAAAGCTTATTGCAACGGTTCAACTGAACCTAGGACTGTATCCAACAGTTCGTCGGAGAAAGCACATTGCCAACATGCCAACAGTGTTCATAAATGATGAGATAGGATGCTCACAGAACAGGAAACGACTATATGCGAACAGTACCGACATTCCTTCATGATAAGTCAGTCATAAGCACAAATATAACGCCCTGGAACTGAATAGTCTGCAATTATGAACCGCTTGCCAACTGTGACAGGCATGAAATAGTTTTAAAAGCTAAGAAAGTGACGATCTCAAAATGCCATTCAAAGCCAGTGATGACTGATTATTCAACCAAAAAATTCAGAGGGAGGGTTTTGGTTGTCGAGGGCTCTCAACTAATAGTGCGTCACCGAAAACCTAAGCTTTACGAAACGCTGGGATGTCTATGAAAAAGTGAACCAGTAGTAGTAAACCCCATAACTTCGAAAAAAGTTCTGTGATCATGCAGTTTAATGTACTGGCTGGAGACCTCGGGATGATCGTAACCGATGGTTAGAGACACTGAGCGATATGGCTGGGTGTCGTAAACAGTGGCGTTCGTGCATCTCCTCAATTTCTTNCCTTTCGACTCCACTTTCAAGTTTCCTTTCTTCTCCTAGTATTCATCCCAATGGGCAGCCAAAAGACAGCAACCAAAACCGGCGCACGAAAGTGCATTGTTAATGGTTGTTCAAACTGAAACTGAGTTTAATGCATATAGAAACCATCTTCTGGATGTTATGAAGCAGAAGACCAAGGGAGCGGATAGACGACCCATACCGCGTTTGCTGGCTGGTCAGTTTGACAGCACAACCACTTGGACTATCCAGGAGTGCTTGCAGCTTGTTACACACCGTCGCTACACAGTGATCGACTTCCTGAAGAATGATTTCTCAGTAGGATTTAACTGAGATTGAATTACAGGTCTGCACCTACTAAGCATTCATTCTGTCCATACGAAGCAGTAGGAGGTTTCATTGATTTATGAAGGTTTCACATAAATGCTGAAGTTGCCTTTGCCTGTTTTTCGTTATTACTGTTGTATACTCCATCCTAAGATTTATTAATCTAGTACAACCCCGGTACATTTCATTTGATATTACGGACAAAGACACTGCTTCTGTCTCCTACCGATAAACCTAACCGAACGGTGAGAACGTACTCGGAGATGGAACATTTAAGTTACATTCATTTATTTACGGGCAAGAAAGCATTCACAACCCTTTTGAACAGCCAGCCATGTCCACTCTCACTTACTTGCTTGACTGGAGCAAAACGCCCGGTATTACTGGGGCAAGTTCCTTCATTCGACGGAAGTGTAGGTCGACCCGAATCATAGCTTGGACTGGAAGTAGTACTATCCGCAAAGCGTAAAGAATCTGCCTGAGGCCATGATTCGTTGTCAAAAACGGACCGGTGCAATTCACGAGTTTCGTTGCCGTGTAAACCGTCCTCTAGATAAGATCCAGTTTCCGTCGTTCGTAGTGTTCTTGAGTTCATATGAGATAGACGCGATGCAGTGGCAAAGCCTATTCCGTTTACATAGTCATCCATATCTGCGTTATGATGATAGCGGATGTTTTTCTCTCTCTTTGTGTCGGCTGTCTGAACAACAAAAGAATTAGTTCCATTTGCTGGAGCGGTGGATGGACTCAGAGAGGACCATACGGATGAGGATAGTGTAGACAAACTGGCTCCTAACGAAGAGGACAATGTAGTTGTTCGACGACCAAACTCATTTGTGCGATGAGCAGTTACAATGCCTGTGTCGCACTCGAACGATTTTCCCGCATCACTACGACTGCTCGAGTTATCGGCTGGCACAGTTAACGGTTGATTAAAATTCGACATTGGCGGTGAGGGTGTGTGCTTCGGATTCCAATCTGGTTCCGCCAAATCTGCTTCAGCCTCTGCATCTGAGTCGGAAATCGAACCCAGATACTGATTCAAAGTGCCACAGCTTTGAATACGACCAAGAGTCGAATCGATCTGGGATAAATGCGCGTTGAAATCTTTCAGTGTTACATGCATTTTGTTGAGTTGTGTATCCATATCACAATCATGAGAACGCTGGTTTACATCAGTCCTATTACAGGACATTGTTGAAGACGGTTTTTTGTAAGGATAATTGGAATTTCCATTTGCTATGTGACTAGAAGAATCACGTGTAGTTATGTGGTGGTTCGTAGGCAGTGACGGAGGAGAGGATTGACGTAGAGGCTGATGTGCCTCCGATATTACGTCATTCGAGTATTCATGGGATGGATGATGGGGCATTGTAACGCTGGCAACAGAAACCGGTACACAAGTAGAACTGGCAACGTGCCTCAGCGGCGATGACGATGATGGCGAATGCGAGGCGGTTGAATTGTAACTCGATACTAATTCGGTTGTGGATCGATGAGAGTCGTGACATGTCGTGAGCCAATCGGCGGTGAGCGTGGCACATGACCTGTGGG